TGTGGGAGCCGGCCTGGTACTTTTGTCGCGACGGTTCTGAGCCTCGCGGTTCGGCGATTGAGCCGTGGTTTTGGATTTTGCTGGGTTCCTTTGTCCACCGATCTCCTTTTCAGGAGTGTGGAGCAGAGTGTTGCCGGGGTTCTCCGTGGGCACCACGGTGTTCGCCCCGGCGGTTTGACTGGCGAGGGCCTTGGCGAAGACCCCCTCGAGGGCTTTCAGGACGTCGGGGTGCTGCAACACCGCAGCGAAAGTTGGAACCGGGGGTACGGGAACGATCGGTCCCTGCTGAGCGCGACGGGAGGACTCCCCGCCGTTGCGGCGGCGAGACTGGGAGCCGGACTGCTGGGTGGAGTCGTCATGTCCAGATGAAGGCATTTTGAGTGGTTTTTAGAAACGAAAAAGGTGAAAAAAGATGAGTGCGATGTGTGTAGCTTCACAAGATCGAAAAATTGACACCAAGCAACTTATGGTGCCCTCCTTCTAGCGCCAAACTGTTGACGGGCGTTTCCGGTCAACGGTTAAAAAGACAAATAATGGAAAAGAAATAAGGGAAAGACGAGGAAATGCGGTTTAATTACGATTTTATTAATGGATCACGAGTTCGGCCTCTCGTACGAGGTCGGCACTTGCGATATCCTTATATTGCTTACACGAGTTTCTTACAAGTTCTTTAGAGAGAGAAAATATGGGCTTGAGTAGTTGGGATTTCAACAACCCAAAATAAATGAGGTAAGTTGCTATTTATGGTAGCCTTCAATGTCGCACTGTACGGGTTCTGTTCAGCGGTCTTGTCGTACAGTGGCTCAATGGGACAAGCCGGCGCTTTTCTGACTGATTAGGAGTGATTTCCGGATTCTCTAATCATTGCCTGCCATACATTTAATGCGAACGTGGGCTGCATTAAATGCGGACACGTTCTGGCTGAGTAGGATGTCCCATCGGCAATCATTCGTAGACAAGTGGCATTATTTTATTGTGTCCGACGTCGTTCCTCTATCAGGAGCCGCCCTTGCGAGACTTGGTGCGAGGTGCCGACCTAGTAACCACATGGATATGGTGCCGATCTGGGAACTGGTTCCTCCCACCGTTCTAGACGACTTTGACTCTCATTCAGCTCGGCACCCATGTGCGGTTTTGGTGACCGGCTCCCTCGGCCCGAACCGGTACCTACGCTGGGTCCGGACTCGGATATCAACATTGTATATGAAGAAAATTAAAACTATATATTTAAAATATTAAAAACACCTAAAATATTATATAACATATGCAAAAGTATATAAAATTTTTTATATTATTAATGAAAGATGTGAAGTCACCCAAATTTTTTTAAACTATTTTGTAAAGAAACATAAAGATGAGAATCCACCTAAAATTTGTCTAAACTATTTCGTTGAAAACATATCTAAAAATATATAAAATTATGTACATATACATATAATATGTAAAATAATTGTTTAAACAATATATTTAAAAGTATCTAAAATATTACAGGCTTATAGGCTTAAAGAAAGATATTATGTCACGCCATGCATAGATATAGCTCCTAATAATAAAGAAATATTAATCACTCTTTATTAACACTTATATGTTAAATTAAATATATGATATACTCAAATAGCTTAATATATATATAGATATAGTTTCATTCATTCTCCAAATAATATATATAGTGAGTTCGATGATTGGATAATAATTATAAAACATTTTTACTTATATGTTTATTCTTATTTTCTTTATTTAATTTTAATTTTGACTAAATGAATAAATTGTAGTTAATTTTCATAAATAAAGAAAAAAATTAAAAAAAATTTAGAGGATACGTAACATTAAAGAGAAAAATTCCTTTTTTTTAAAAAAATATGTTACGAATTTTCATTAGTAATTATGAATTAGTTTTTTTTTAAAAAAAAAAAAAATATGTTACCATATAGAAGGGATGAGATTTTTTAAACAGATTTATGCATAAGAATGGGATTTAAAAATCTTTTAAACTTGTCAGAGGCGGATTTAAACATATGTGAGATTTTTCACTATGTAAGGGTTTGTAATGAGATTTTTTAAACTTATCCAGATTTATGCCAATGAAATTTGTAAACTTGTTGACCTTTATTCAAAGTATGTTATGCTAGATAAAAGGATCAAATTTTTTAATCTGTCGAGATTTATGCAAAATAATAGGATTTTGTAAGTTTGCGAGATTTATGCATGAAGTTAATTAATTATTATTGAATTTTTGAAATCTTACCAATTATAGTATGTATTAATTATTACAAAATGTTTATGGCTACTATTTTTGGTAAATAGTAATTCTTTTTATATATAGATAGATTTTATCATTAAAAATATTGTGGGCAATATCTATTGATATTTTCCCACCAGATCCATTCCAGCAGGTCGACACATAACCAAACTTAGGTCGATTGTGACTTGGTCGGCCTGATTAATATAAATACATATATATATATATATATTCTTATAAAAATATTTATATTTTAAGAATAAAAATAACTTGTAAATATTTATGCGATACATAATTATGATGAGAGGCAATAACATTAAGATTTAGAAGTAAAAAGTCTTACACTTAAGTTATATATTTTTATTATTGTTGTTGTTACTTATAAAAAATAATAATAAATATAATTTTTAAAATTTTAAAATCATTTCAATTTTGAGTCAGTAGTTAATACTGGGCCCAAGTGTCCCATATCCGGAGAGCATGGGTTACTTGTTAGATGATATTTATTGTACTCAACATTGTCTCCTTGCACTTGTCCGAAATTTGATTAAGGCAATTGGAAAAGAAATAAATAAATATATAAATAAATAAAGGGGAATAATAATGCTGAAAAATATCTTAAAAAAGAAGATTCTCATAATTGGTGGCTTGAACACCTCTACCAATTTTACTCGTTCAGCAGTCAGCACATCCAAACAAATAAATAAATAAATGGGATTAATAATGCTAAAAAATACTATCTTAAGAAGAAGGTTCCATTATTGGTAGTTAGAACCACCTCTACCAATTTTACTAGTTTTGCACACCTAAACGGTTTAGAGCATCTTCAATGAAGATTGTGATGTATGACATGGAGAAAGAGAATTAAATTTTTTTTATCTCCAATGGCTACCGTTAATTGTGGTGTCATTTGTGATATGTAAAATTGTAACTGGTTGGAGAAGAGAGATAAATTGAATAAATAATATAATATATAATAGAAGTTGTTTAGAAAGACTTCTATATCTAGAAAGCCTTCTAAACATTTTTCAGGTCACATCAGATTTTTTATGTCATGTGGCAGCAATGGAAAGACCATTGGAGATGCTCTTAGAGCATTAGCAAATTCAATACAGACATATATTTCCACAATAAAAACAAAGTTTTTCCTAACTTACAAATTTATTATCAATGCCTTTCGATCCTATGTGTAAATTGATATGTGCCATGTTAGAATATCAGTTGTGAGTTGTCCCACATCGTTCATACGTGGAAAATAGACACACCTTATAAGTTTAATGAGCTACTCCTCATTCCACCAATTGGTTTGGAATTAAACTCCACTTGGGTTTCATATGGTATTTCCCCGCTTTGGTGCGCTTCATGTTAGTGGGACCGCACACGTTTTTCCCAGTCACCCAGTCCAGTTGGGTTTGGCCGTCGCGTGTTCCCCAATTTTATGTGCTCATAAATCTTGATTTTTATTAATATATATTAGAACTTTGAAAACTTAAAAATATTAACCAACTAAAAATAATGATATACTTTAAAACTTAGGGGAATGCTACATCACCGATTTACATGTGTATTTACTGTTAAAAACACTAACGAAACCATATTGTAACAGGGCTATAGTCTTCTCCTAAAACTTATAATTACATTTTAACTTATTACCAGTTTTCATGTGATGCATCAAATTAGTCAATTGAAAATAAAAATATACTTTTAAACTTTGTAACATTTTAATTTGTTATTACTTTTTCATATATAATATATCACCTTTAATTATCTCTTACAACCTCCTATTTGACATATATACTAAATGTATCAAAAAATTATATTTACAATAAAAAATAAAAATTAAATTATATTAATCATTGTAATTGGATAATAATAAAATCATTGTTAATATATAAATAGTTAATGTATCACGCGCAGGCCTGTAAATGAGCCGAGCTGAGATCGGCTCATTAAATAAACGAGCCAAAAATCAAGCTCGAGCTCGACTCGTTAAGGCTCGAGCTAAGGACTCAAGCTCGAGCCTTAACGAGCCGATCTCGAGCATAACTATAAAACATTATATAATTTTTTTTTTGGCCTTATCAAGCTCGTTAACAAAATGAGCTTTAAATAAGCTCGAGCTCGGCTCGTTAATTCCTTGAACTCAAGCCGAACTTGAGCTTTAACGAGCCGAGCCGAGCCAGACACTACAACAAAATGGTGAAATTTCAACAGAAAGTTTCAATACAAATATATTTAAATGAAATTCCAACGAAAATTCCAACAAAAATATTCTGTTCGAATGAGTTTTTCATTGGAATTTCTGTTGGATTTTGCGACGATTCCAACGATAGATTTTCCAACGGAGGTGGAAAAAAATTTCAACGGAAATTGCATATTACAACGAAAATTCTTACAAAAAAAAAATCGTTGAAAAAATAGCCGTTTGACTCATCAAATTCCATCTAAAATTTCAATGGAAAAGTCATTCCAACACAATATTTTCATTGGAATTTTTGTTGGAATCATTCCAACGGAAGCTATACCATTGGAATATATTATCTTAGAATTTTTTGCTAGAATATAACAATTTTTTGTAGTGATTTAACAATACTGTCACGCCCATTATATGAAAATTTGAAAAAAAGTACTTAAAGATTTTTTTTTTCAACAATTTTCCACGTTTGGCACATTAAAAATGTTGGAGCATTATGATTGTGGTCCCAGATGTCTGATCAATTATTTAAGCTATGTATTTGCTCTTCATGTTTTACACGGTGGGCAAGTACCTTATAAATAAATGACATTATATCCTTTCTTTAGCCACCAAATACATATACATATATACATCCAAAAATTTTATTTAGCTAAAATATATCTTCATGGAGCACTCCTTTCTATCATCCCAAGCCTCTAGAGCTACATTTGAGGTAAATAGCTAAAATTATATAATAATACTTAGTACATGATTACTAAAATAGATTAATTATATGCTTCAAATGATATAATCTTTACAGCTCTGTCCAGGAGTTAACATACTATACAGAATTAGTTAATTGTTAGGTTATTTAAAGATAACGAGATTTTGACACGTGGCGAGTGGGTGGGCAGATGAACATTGTCGAAAATTTTTAGTTAATTTTCTTTTGCAACATTGTTCTTGGTGTGCAGGACATGACATACTTTGATCTGGACATGAAAAATTCAAGACTCGAGCAAGTAAGAAGTGTGCTTGCCAAATTCGAACAAAATTCATTTGAGAGCTTAGTTCTTGTGGATATCATCCAACGGCTTGGCCTCGATTATCTGTTCCAAGATGAGATCGGAGCCATTCTTGACATGCACCACATTTTGGCCACTAAAAGCACATTTCTCAAGCACGAGCTTTACCAAGCTTCCCTTTGTTTTCGCCTGTTGAGGCAACAAGGATACCAAGTTAATGCAGGTAAATTTTATATGAACCTTCTCTTATTTTTTCTTTTCTTTTTTTTAAATATGTTAGTTTATGAACATTGTTTAAAGCACTTTAAACTTCTTTTTGAGTATGTGTTGATCCAAGAGTTAGAATCTCAATATAGTACACCTATATAATTGAAGTCTACCCATCTTGTTGATGTTTTTATGTACCTAATACGTTCTCTTATTTATTAATGGAAAATGCTATAAGTACATAATAAATGACTAAATAGAGGTGTGCATAACACTCAAATAGAGTGGGGTTCACATGATTTTTTATTTTTGGTAAGTTCCACTCAATGTGAATGTTATGTACACCTTATATACAATATTACTAGTGCATATCCCGTGCGATGCACGGAAGAGTTCATATTTTAAACATTTTTTAGACTTTATTTTAAATATAATTATTTATATTTTTCACATCTCGTCTATTATGAAAATAAAATAAATACAATCAATGAAAAATATATAATATTAAATACTTTTCTTTATACAATATTTTTTATTTAAGGAATATTATTAAACCTTACGATTTTGATTTGTTTTTTTAAATCAATAATCCAAAATATATGATTGTTAATGTACAAAAAATAATGAAAATAATCCAGACTTTAAAGTAAAGCTATTTTTTATTATTTTATAAATAAAAATCTTCCAAATTTTATTTTTTAATTTCAAAAAAAAATTGGCAAGTTTGATAATGAGTTAAATCAAGTAATACAAATGATTAAATAGTTAAAATGTTATATTAATTATATTTTAAGAAATCCGATTATATAAAAATGGGTAAAAAAATATTATACTAATTAGTTTGTTAGGATTGTGATTATATGGAAGTTAAAATAAAATGAAATGTAACCAAAAAATTTGTTCGTGGTTTTTTCCTAAATGTTTGAATTTAAAAATCTAGTAACCAAATTTACATTATATCACGTAAGGAAAAAAATAAATAATAAATATTTATTAAAGAGATAAATCAATAATATTTATCACTTAGATAATAAATAATAAATATTTACATGAAAAAAATAATAATAATATAATTAAAAATATAAGTCAGAATTTCAAATAAAGTAAAAGGAGGGATAACTCATTTTTTAAAAAAAGTTTCTAAATATTTAATATATTGATAAGTATCTCCATAAGAATAATCATACCATTTTAATTTTAAAAAAATTGACAAGTTTGTTAGAGAGATAAATCCGGTTAAACAAATGATTAATTTGTTAAGATATTATATTAATTGTATCATAAAAAATCGGTTAGATAATGTAGATAAAAAAATATAATACTAATTAGTTTGTTAGAAATGTGATAATAAAAACCAAGATTAAATGAAATTTACCCAAAAAAATTGTTTGGAATCTTTTCCTTTAAATGTTTGAATTTACAAATTTAATACCGAAATTCTATTATATCACATAAGGAAAAAATAAATAATAAACGTTTATTAATATATTAAAATATGTAATTTTGAATTTCATATAAAGTAAAAGGTATGCTTATTCAAATTTATTTTTAAAATAAAAGTTATTTATGATAAACATTTATTGATTCTCTTTCAAATATATTAATAAAATAAAAATATAAATCTAAACAAATTTTGAAACAACCAAAAAAATCGGATTGATTGGCATAAAAAAAGGAAGTGAAATCGGATTTGAATGCTAAAATCGGAACACCTTACCAAATTGAATGCTAAAAGATTCGATTTGATTGGTTACCTAATTGTATGGGCTGAAAAAATTCAAAAAAAATTTTACGAATTGAAAAAGTGGGAAAAACACTATATTGAAGCGGGAAAACGAAATGATTATTTTCGGTTCAAATAATTTTTCTTCTCCGTATTATATAGTAATAGATGTACCTATAACATTTCTCTTTATTAATTATGCTCATACATGTACAAAGAGTGGAATTAACCGTACAAACCCTATAGGCAAAGTCTACGACAAATCGACCCTATCTATGAAAGTAGTGCTTTTATTGAGTTTTGTTTTTCTACTGTTTTGGATTACACATATTCACTTCACATACACCCGGCCCATGAGGTACCAGTTGATCCAATATTAAAAAACCGGATTTTGTTGTCCAATAAGTCGTGTTGAATTTAGCGAAGTCTACCCATCTTGTTGATAGTTGCATGTACCAAACACGTACTCTTTTTCTATTAATGCTATATATATATGTACAAAGAGTGGCATCAATTATATATGTCCCAACTAGGAACTAGCTCCGATCCGTAACTTTCTGGGGAGAAGGTATATAAATAAAATTGGTTTTGATTGTATTTATTAAAAGAGAGTTAATTTTGAATAAAATTAATTGAGTGGAGAATTGAGTGATATTTTGAGTTTGTATTTAAATAACACTTAAATTGTAATTATTACAGTTGATGTGATATAAAAGTAAGTGATAGATAATGCGAGTTGAAAAATAGTAAGTTGATGTAATATGTGAGGATGATTGATTGATGTCATTTAATTATAGTATGATTAATATTGAGGGGAGTTGAGTTCAATAATCATTTGAGTTGTGTAAAAAGATTGTCCGTTTAGTCAAAATCGATTTTAACTTGTAGCAAATCAGCGACCTCAATTGACTAAACTTTTGAAATTGTTACTAAGGCAAGATCATCAAGAACCGATATCGACGCATACGATAATCCCAAAAGGTTACGTGTACGTACTAAAATTGCGATTTGGTTGAAAAAGCGTATTACACAAGAGATTCGCTTTTTTTTTTTTTTTTTTTTTTTTTTTTTTTTAGTTTTGTTAATTAACCCATACGAAACATACGCGTGATTGGTATCTGGGTTCATTAATTTCCAAACTCATTTTTCTCAACTACAACAGATGACTTTTTCGGAAAATTTAAGGATGAGAATGGCAGATTCTGTTTCGAGGATATTGGTCAGAATACGGACACAATAAAAGCCGCGCTTGCTTTGCACGAAGCTTCACACGTACACGTAAACGGAGAAGAAATTCTACACGAGGCAGCAAAATGCAGCTCTCAGTATCTGAGTCATAAGCTGATTAACCTCAAAAGCTTCGACCAAGACCACGCTAAAATGGCGAAGCATTCTTTACTCTATCCACAACACAAGTCGATGACTCAATTCATGTCCATGGATTTTCTTCGAAGCCTCAAAGGTCAATACGGTTGGGAATCTTCGCTGAAAGAACTAGCAGAATTAGAGTACACGAGCCTTGAGTCGTTGCACAAGGATGAACTCGTTCGAGTTGTCAAGTAAGTTGTACAAATGAAAGTTAAGGAAAATATGTTATATATTCGATTGTAGGCGAAATAAATTGAGCCAACTTGTTCGAGTGTCCAATATGTTGGAAAAATCAGTTATAACACTTGAGTTTGACCCGGTTTTGACTGAATTTTTTATGGCTAAACATTTACTTCGGGTTGAATTAAATTATGTATGAAAATTCTACTGGTTATATATTTATTTTCTCAAAATTGATTTTGATGGCTAAGCGTTACTTTTTAATTACTTCCATTTCAAATTTGATGCCAAATAAATTTGCAGGTGGTGGGAAAATTTGGGCCTGAGTAGCCAGCTAAAATCGTTAAGAAACGAGCCCATAAAATGGCACTTGTGGTCGATAGTTACGCTTTGGGATCCAAAGTGGTCCAAACAGAGGATTTTGCTGACGAAGCCTATCTCCCTCGTTTTTGCTGTCGATGACATTTTCGACCTTTACGGCACATTAGAAGAACTTACTCTCTTCACAGATGCTGTAAACAAGTATGATAATAAAATCAAGCTTATAGATCAATATCATATATTAGTCCCCTGTTTGATTATTTAAACGATAATTTTGAAAAAAAAAAAAAATAATGGTTAAAAATGCGCGCAGATGGGAAATTCGTGCAGCTGAAAAGCTACCGGCTTACATGAAGACATGCTTCATGGCGATTTACGACACCACGAATGAAATTAGTCGAGTGGTTTTTCAAGAGCATGGTTGGAATCCGGTTGAGTTTCTAAAAAAAGAGGTCCCTTATTATATAGCATTTTCAATTGACTAAGTTGAACAATATATATTTCATCAAGAAAATCCAAACTGATATCTAAATCATTGCATGANAAAAAATTGTTCGATGCATTTTTGAAAGAAGCAGAGTGGTTTTCGTCTGGAAAATTGCCAAAGTCCAAAGAGTATCTGAAGAATGGAGTTATTAGCTCAGGGGTAGTAATGGTCCTTGCACATCTTTTTTTCCTCATGGGAAATCGGTTAACAAAAAAAACAGAAAGTCTACTCAACGATGAATCTCAAGGGATTACTTATTCGGTTGCTAATTTACTTAGGCTTCTCGATGATTTGAGAACTGCTCAGGTATAAATTTTAGTAGCTGAATAATAAATTCATGTTAATTTTTTCGCATTCGGGACTAATTAAACTAATAAATTGAAATACAGGACGAGCAACAAGAAGGTTATGATGGATCTTACTTAGAGTGCTACATGGAAGAACACGACCACTCATTAGAGTCCGCACGTGAGCATGTTATGGCAATGGTTTCATGCACGTGGGAAAATCTCAACAAGAAATCCCTTTGTTCAATCAGTCCATTTTCTCTCTCTTTCAGAAAAGCCTGTTTAAATGCGGCACGGATGGTCCCGATGGTGTATGCTCACGACAAAAATCTTCGGATTCCGGTTGTTGAGCACCTCATTAAAGCTTTGCTACGCGAGACCACTTTCATGTAGTCAATATATGTAGCCGGAAAGCCGAAGGCATGAGTTTGAACTCTTGATATTCGAGCCTTTCACGAGCTTAATTATATGCTAATTTTTTTTTTGTTAATTATTATGTAAAAGCCTTCTATATCGAGCTTTATAGGAGCTCGTGCTATTGCGAGTCGAGTCGAACCAAGAATGGTTATTTCATTTGACATTCAACGTACGGTTGTATATAGAATATTAGTATCTCGTCTCTAATAATATCAGTGATTTTTCTGTTTTGGCAGTGATCACTTTTGTTATATTCCAACACACACCGTATAACATGTTTGATATATTAATTTATTTAATTTATAAATAAAAATATATTATTTTTCAATTATGGTTGATTCGGTAATTGATTTATTTTTTTTAAATAAAGGTAGACATAATTTTTAATATATTATATTTAGGAAAACATAATAACATAAAAAAAATAAAATAGAAATGAAAATTAAAAAAAAAAAATAGAGTTTCATAAATAATTTTCTACTAACTATCACTTCCACTTTGAATAGTCAAACCCTTAATTAAGTCTCTAAGTGCCAGACAAAAAAACGGAAAATGTTAAGGTCCCGTCAGCGTTTTTCACCATTGAATAAGAAAAGTAGGTTATGTTGTGTGATAATCTACGGTAACAAACCCTGACAGAACCATTCTGTCAACGGGACTTTAGCCGTTTCCTATTAAAACTGACATTACATAAATAAACAGTTCGTGATAGAACTCACAAATACTAAAAATAGAAAGGAGTACTTCTCTAATATGTGATGATAAAAATGAGCATATAAAAGCTTTTACAAATAAAAAACCTAAAATTTTAATTATAAGAAAATTGTTATTTGTGCTAACTTTTATTTTTCCTGATTGATGATGCAGATGTTCTATAAAATTGGTATTCTTATAGTTTATGCTTCATTTCAGACTCCAATTTTCTTTGGCTGTGTTTGGTTAATAGCTTTTTGGCCTTAAAAGATCTTTTTTAACTTTTTAGCTGTTTGACTTTTTACAATCAGCTGAAAAATATGTTTGGTAAACAGCTTTTTCAATTAGCTTTTTTGGCCCAATCCGCTAAAATGGAAAACGCTGCTTTTCCTAGCGTTTTGATTCAGCGGTTTGAGAAAAAAAGAATTAAAAGTCTTAATTGCCCTTTTATTATTATATTTATACCACATGAGACGTAAGTCAAAATCGTCTTGGATTAAAATAGTGCACTGCTCTTAACTTTTTATTCAAACCTATAGCAATAAAATATATATCACGTTTTTTATATTTTAAAAATAGAAATAATATTTCGTTTTTTAAAATTATAACTAATGTTACATAAGAAAAATATTCAAATATAAAAATGTAATTCCAACTAATTCTAGTATAATACTTAACAAATAATTTTACCAACCTTTTTTTCTAAAATTTTAAGTATATATAATTTTGGTTACTTAGATGCACATGGAAACTTTAAGAAATTGTTAATGTAAATTTTAGTTACTTAGATTTTCTTTTATATTTTTTTTTCATCTGTTATGAGAGATATCGAAATTGGCTCACATTTATTTTTTTAAATAGTGATGACTTGTTATTAGTTTTGTTTATAGGACGTGAACTTATTTACTCAATCAAGAAATATTTTTGTTTTATTATTATTTATATTTTTATTATATTTTAAATTACTTTAATAAATATTTAAAATATTAATTATTTTTATTTTCTATATAATTATAAGTTCAACATAAATGATAACGATAAATTATGTTGATGTCCTTATAAGTAATTTTGCATGTTAACAGCTAATTAAAAATAGCTAATCCTACCAAACACTCTTTTACAAACCGCTAACACAATCATCTAGTCAAACCAGCTAACGCAATCCGCTGGTCAAAACAACAAAAGCAATCAGTTAACAGCTATCAGCTAACCGCTGATTACCAAACAAGGCCTTTGTATATGTCCGTGTATTTGCACGGGCAAAAGTACCGTTGTGTATAAATAAATACTATGTATTGAATATATGATGGGACCACGCATTAATCCCATATTATATACGAACAAAACACTCACACGAGAGCAATAAATATAACACTCGGATCTCATTTTATTCGTTTTTATTTTTACATACAAAATAGTTTGGTAAGAGAGAGAGAAAGAACAAATGTCCCAACTAGTCATGGTCCTCATGGATTATCTCTCACCACTTCTCCTTCTAGTATCCATCACCTGGATTTTCACCGTCATCATCCTAAACTCCAGGGCCCGTAGGCCCTCAAACTATCCTCCGGGCCCGTTTCCCCTCCCAATAATCGGCAACATCCTTCTCCTCGGCCCGAAACCCCACCAATCACTCGCCAAGCTCTCACGAGAATACGGGCCTGTGATGTTCCTCAAGCTCGGAATCATAACAACTGTCGTCATATCCTCGCCGGAAGCCGCCCGATCCGTGCTCCAGAAACACGACCTCGCGTTTTCCAGCCGGAAAATCCCGATCGGCGGTGAAACCCTAGGTCACGACGTGTTCTCCATGGTGTGGCATCCGGTGGACGAGCAGTGGCGCAAGCTCCGCAAGATATGCCGGGAGCAGATGTTCTCGGGCGCACGGCTCGATTCGGGCCAGGGCCTGAGGAGGGAGAAGCTGGGCCAGCTACATGGGTATGTGAAGTCGTGCCGTGATTCGGGCCGGGCTGTGGACGTGGGAGAGGCTGCCTTCACGACGGCCCTGAATCTGATGTCGGCGACCCTGTTTTCCGAGGAGTTTGCCGGGTTCGGGTCGGGCTCATCGCGCGAGATCCGGGATGTTGTCTGGGGGGTGATGCGGTCGGTCGGGAGGCCAAATTTGGCGGATTTCTTCCCGGTTCTGAGACGGGTCGACCCGCATGGGATCCGGAGGGAAGCAGAGCATTATTTCGGGCGGCTGTTTGAGATTTTTGATAGGATTATTGATGAGAAGTTAAGGTGCAGAGGAGATAATAATATTAAGGATGACTTGTTGGGGGCCCTTATTGAGCTTCATCTCAAGGATGAATTGAGCAGAGATGATATTAAGCATCTCTTACTGGTATAAATTTTAATTAATTAATTACTTTTTTGTTGAAATTAATTACAATTTAAGTCAGTGGTCTAATTTGACCCAAATTCAAACTAGCTTGATTTGTTTGACCTTTTTAATGCAGGACTTATTCACAGCTGGCACGGACACCTCGTCGAGCACGGTTGAATGGGCAATGGCGGAGCTCTTACGCAACCCTTCCAAACTATCCACACTCAAAGACGAAATAAATGACGTCATCAATGGATCAGTCCAAGAATCGGACATCCCCCGACTCCCATACTTACAAGCCGTGGTCAAGGAGACGCTCAGGCTTCATCCGCCGGCCCCTTTCTTGGTCCCGCACAAGGCCAATGCCGATGTGGAGGTAAATGACTATATCGTCCCTAAGGATGCCCAAGTCCTGGTCAACGTTTGGGCTTCGGGGCGTGACCCCAACGTGTGGCCCGATGCGGATGTCTTCTTGCCCGAGCGGTTTTTGGGGCGTGAGGTGGACTACAGAGGAAAGGATTTCGAGCTGATACCGTTTGGGGCCGGGAGGAGGATATGTCCCGGTTTGCCCCTCGCGCATAGGATGATTCACCTCATGCTTGCCACGCTGGTCGGGGGTTTCGAATGGCGGATTGAAGGAGGGGTAGAATCGGAAGTTCTTGATATGGACGAGAAGTTTGGGCTCACGCTGCAGAAGGCCGTGCCTCTTAGGGTGGTCCCAGTGGCGTAGTATTGATTGTGTTTTGTGTTGATGATGGATTCATGAGGCTATTGTTGTGTACTTAGTTTCGTCTTTTTATGATGGTGTGTTTTGCTGTAATAAATGCCTGTTTGGCGATAAAATTTGATGTCTGCCTGTTTCCTCATTTTTCGGATGTCACTAGTCACTACTAATACCAAGGCTAAGTAGATCAACAAAGTATTCAGCATCAACGTGAAACCTGAAAAGCCACCTTTATTTTTTTTCATTAAAAAAATAAAATAACAAAAATTTAAAAAGAAAAAGAAAAAAAAAGGCCGAAATCGTCGATTCTGGTTCCAATTTGAAACCGGCCAAACGATTCAAAAAGTATATATATGTGGCCCGAATCTAACACAGGCACAGATCTGTATTGGGCCCAGGGGCCCCTCCTGATTTTATTAAAAAAAATCAATAATATATATAGAAATATAAAAAGTATTTACAATATATTAATAATTAAAACTTATTTCTTATTTTTATTTAAATTAATAATATTATTTATTTATTGAAAAAAATGTACTAACAATTTTTATATTTTACATTTCTAAATAAATTTTTAAAAATATTATAATCATTTACTCTTTCAACCTCTTAAATGTAAATTAATTTAGTGATTTATAAAACTCAGTTTTTAGTTGGAGTCTTACATTTTTTAATTCGATTTCGGTATTTTTTTTTTGTGTAATCACATATTTTTAAATTTATTTTTTTTCTTTTTAAAAAATGTTCATTTAGTAAACTCTCATCAACAAAAATATTATACAATGTGCTACAAGAGTTCAATTTAATTCAATTTTTCAATCGAAAAAACTTATTTTTTCATAAACTATAGATGTTGAACTTAAGTTATAAATACATGAAATCTCATATTTTTTTTTTTGTTTTTTTTTTAAATGTTTGAAGGTGATACAGATTCTAAGATTTGAAAAACTTGATGGTACACATATTGATATTTATATTTATATTAAATACATTTTTATGTGAAATGAGCATTTTGACTTAAACTACAAGCTCGTTAGAACATTTAAAATCGGGTCCCCCCTGAGTGACGAGATTCCTAGATCCGTCATTGATCCGACATGACTTGGTGGTCCTAGTCTATTATCTATCATCTCTACCCACCACGTTATCTAAATCAGACCAGTACTATATTACAAAAGTAATTGTTTTGTTCTTTATAATTTCAGTAGGTTGATTTATGTTTGACTGGTCTAACACCACGTTATCTAAATGAGACCAGGACAATATTACAAAAGTAATTGCTTTGAATTTATAATTTCAGTAGGTTGATTTATGTTTGACCGGTTTAACACCACGTTATCTAAATGAGACCAGAACAATATTACAAAAGTAATTGCTTTGTTCTTAATAATTTCTAGGTTGATTTATGTTTGACCGGTTTAAGACCACGTTATCTAAATGAGACCAGGACAATATTATAAAAGTAATTGTTTTATTCTTTATAATTTCAGTAGGTTGATTTATGTTTGATCGGTTTAATACCACGTTATCTAGATGAGACCAGGACAATATTACAAAAGTAATTGTCTTGTTCTTTATAATTCAGTAGGTTAATTTATGTTTGACCGGTCTAAACATTAGTCAGACATACTTTTCTCACAACTATATGTACTTTTGAGAAATGTTATGGTCCCGTTACGGTATCATTCCGTCGGGTGTTTTAATCGTTGGATCATCTATCTTATGCTAATTACATGTGTATGCAACGGTTAAAATACCCGACGAGATGGTACTGTAACAAAACCGTAGCATTTCCGCGAAACGAATTTTGCAGCCGATCATTTGGCTTCCTTCGTTGCGGAAGGATTGGGGTATCATTTCTTTAGTGTTCCACCAGATGGTGTGGTTAGAACACGATCTTATTGGCGTTTCTTATTTGTGAACGTGTGTAACTTAAACTATTACGCTTTTTCACTCTGTACTAAAAATCAGCTTAGGAGGTCGCCTCCAATTTGCATAAATCGTTTGAAATAATCGGTCAGGCGGCTAGATGGGCCTAGGTGTCGGCGGGCTCAGCGGCCAGGCGGCGGCCAGGCGGCGCCTAGGCGCTCCTCGATCGGCGGGCTCGGCGATAATTTTTTTTATTTTTTTTCTAAATACAGATTACATTATTTTATAATATATTATTATTATTATTTAGATTTAGGTGTGTTGATTTATTATAAGTTGAGATATATTAAAATGATTGATCAAATTAGATAAATTTGTATCCAAGCACCCCCACTGGAATCAAATTTCATCGACAAGGCATTTATTACAGCAAAACACCAACATACAAAGACGAAACAAGTACACACAATAGCCTCTCAATCGATCATCAACACAATTTACACAAACACAATCAATACTACGACACGAGGACCGACCAAATCCCGGCCTCACGGCTTCACACAGGGACCGCCCTAAGAGGCACGGCCTTCTGCAGGGTGATCCCAAACTTCTCGTCCATATCAAGAACTTCCGATTCTACCCCTCCTTCAATCCGCCACTCGAAACTCCCGACCAACGTGGCAAGCATGAGGTGCACCATCCTATGCGCGAGGGGCAAACCGGGACATATCCTCCTCCCTGCCCCAAACGGTATCAGCTCAAACTCATTCCCTCTGTAGTCCACCTCACGCCCCAAAAACCGCTCGGGCAAGAAGACTTCCGCATCCGGCCACACATTGGGGTCCCGGCCGGAGGCCCAAACGTTGACCAGGACTTGGGCATCCTTGGGGACAATATAGTCATTTACCTCCACATCGGCATTGGCCTTGTGCGGGACCAACAAAGGGGCCGGCGGATGAAGCCTAAGCGTCTCCTTAACCACGGCTTGTAAGTATGGGAGTCGAGGGATGTCCGATTCTTGGACCGATTGTTGGTCATTTTGGACTCCATTGATGACGTCGTTGATTTCTTTTCGGAGTGTGGATAGTTTGGAAGGATGCCGTAAAAGCTCTGTCATTGCCCATTCCACTGTGCTTGATGAAGTGTCCGTGCCAGCTGCAAATAAGTCCTGCATTACAAGTCAAAACAAATCAAGCTGTTTGAATTTTGTGTCAAATTAGATCATTGACTTAAAATGTAATTTGAATATGATATTTATTTTATTGTAATTAATTTCAGAACAAAAAAAAATTATTTAATAAAAAATTACCAGTAACAGATGCTTAATATCGTCTCTGCTCAATTCAGCCTTGAGATGAAGCTCAATAAGGGCCTCCAACAAGTCATCCTTAATATTATTATTATCTCCTCTGCACCTCAACTTCTCATCAATAATCCTATCAAAAATCTGAAACAGCCGCCCGAAATAATACTCCGTGTCCCTCTGGATCCCCTGCGGGTCGACCCGTCTGAGAACCGGGAAGAAATCGGCCAAATTGGGCTTCCCAATGGAGCGCATCACCCCCCAGACAACATCCCGGATCTCGTGAGACGAGCCCGACCCGAACCCCGCAAACTCCTCAGAGAAGAGGGTGGCCGACATGAGGTTGAGGACAGTCGTGAACGCGGCCTCCCCCACGTCCACGGCCCGGCCCGAATCACGGCAGGACTTCACATACCCACGTAGCTGGCCCAACTTCTCCCTCCGCAGGCCCTGGCCCGAGTCGAGCCGTGGGCCCGAGAACAACTGCTCCCGGCATATCTTGCGGAGCTTCCGCCACTGCACGTCCACCGGGAGCCACACCATGGAGAACACGTCGTGACTTAGGGTTTTACTTGCGATCGAGATTTTCCGGCTGGAAAACGCGAGGTCGTGTTTCTGAAGCACGGCTCGCGCGGCTTCCGGCGAGGATATGACGACAGTTGTTATGGTTCCGAGCTTGAGGGACATCACGGGCCCGTACTCTCGGGAGAGCTTGGCCAGTGATTGGTGGGGTTTCGGGCCGAGGACGAGGATGTTGCCGATTATTGAGAGGGGAAAAGGGCCCGGAGGAAGGTTTGTGGGCCTACGGGCCCTGGAGTTTAGGATGATGACGGTGGAAATCCAGATGATGGAGATTAGAAGGAGAAGCGGTGAAAGATAATCCGTGAGGACCATGACTAATTGCCACATTTCTTCTTTTTCTCTCTCTACCTGTTTAATTTGGTTTTTTCTTTTTTGGGAATGATTTTTCTTTTGAGTTCGAATGAATATTTACTGATAACGGGCTTTGGTACCCAAACTAAGCGAATAAAATATAGCATTAAATATGTGAAGAAAATGAGATCCACGGTGTTATATATATTTATTGCCCTTGTGAGTGTTTTGTTTGTATACGTGATTGATATGCGTAGTCTCATAATATATTCAACTAGTAATCAATCTGTACATTTGCACAGAATATAATACTTTAAAAAGATAATAATATAAAAAAAATAAAAATAAATCATAATTTAATTCCTTAGAAAAATATAAATTAAAAAAATAATTCTCAAAATTAATTTTGATCAAGTAATTGTTATAGAAGAGTCGTTACAACCATTTTCTTTATACTAATACATCTGGCCATTTTTATGAATGTGTGTGACTTAAAATTTGAGTACAATTTTGTAACTCCCTAGTCCCTTAATTAGTTTATGCTCATAACTTACGACACTTAAGCAAGTTACTTTGTAACTTAAAAATGATTTGATTGCTGAAAATTTTAGAGGGATAATAAACTTTAATGTATGATAATATAATTTAATGTTTTGTTACTCCTCTTTATATATATATATATATATATTACGTATTATTTATTCAATACATTGAATATAGATGAGACTGACAGTGGTTTATATAGTTTTCATTTGTATTGAATCGAACGGTGGGTATGGGATGCTAGTAGAGGGATCGACAGTCATTTATATAGTTTAACATATAACATATTGTAACGGTGCATTTTCTCTTGGCAGCCCCCTAATCATTAGACCAAGTATATTTTTCTCACATACAATTGGGAAATGTAATTGTTTTATTCTTTAGATTAAGGGTCATGGGTCAGGTCGAATTCGAAACTTCCTGATATGACCTCTGTTAGAGTAGAATGCCCGGCGTTCCAATCAGATTGGATTTATTTCTATTTATAAAACAATTTATTGGAAATTATATTATTTTTAGGCATAACTTTATCTTATGTATTTGCATTTATCTTATATTTGCACATATGATAAAGTCCTTAGATCATTATTAGCTATGAGACATGGTTGCGCATATGATGGCAATCATAGAACATGTCTTTAAAGCTGTGATCTTAAATAAGTTCCAAGTCGATGGGTGTTTCGAGATAGGACATCGAATAACCCGGTAAGACTTGTGCATATGATGTATGCTCATCGGATGAGAATGTTGCATTCCATCAACATTAGCGTGTGGACGTGAATACATATATGCGGGTGCTTGTTGGAGAACAAGTTCACTGAACATGGCCCGATGAAAATTCTTAACTGGAAGTTTTAACTGTCGAATAAGAATTTTCATGTTGCAATAGTACATGACTAATCATATGACTTGAGGCACGATAGTAATCTTGTGCATGTTGTGCTTTACTTTTATTTATCCTTTGATTGCTGGACAATCATAAAAGGGATATTTTGGGTACTGTATTAATATGTATGGAGGTTTATCTGTGGCCAACAAAGAATTCGACACTTATGTGGATAAGTGAATTTCCTATATTTTTCATAGTTTGTGATTCAAAGACCTTGGCCAAGGCAGGATGAATATGGATTCATAAACGAATCACTAAACTTGAAATGAATTCATAGTTATTAAATCAATTGGGTTTCGACTTATAAATTCATGCCCAAGATTTAATCGGGAAATTAGTTGTCGAAAGGATTTTACATGTATGCACTTGCAATTGAAAAGGTTTACTCGCTATTTCACTTAACACTAGATAATCATGCTACTTGCTAGGTGTTCCCATGATTTGTGGGTTCTTGAAATTAATGAGTTAATTTTAAGAATATAAATTAATTAAATTAATTTAAATTACAAACGAGTTGTAAACCCACTACTAGTGTTAATTGTGAACCTAAAAGGGTCACACCAAATTTTGGATGATGACAATTTGAAATTGGTATTTCCAATAGTTGGATTAATTAAAAAGTCTTAATTAAATAATTTGATTATTTAATTAAATCTAATTTTGATTAGATATCAATTACAGGAATAAAATAAATTAATCAATTGGATTGATTAATTAGGCTTTGTATATTAATTAAGTAATTATTCAAATTACTAAATTAATAGTTGGATTTTAAAGTTGGACTTTAAAATTCAAATCCAAATATTAATATGATTATATATTAAAAGCCTACATAAAAGAGGAGATTTTATTTTACATGAGAGACAAGATTTTGATCAATTATTTTGAAAGTTGGTTTCATAATTATAGATCACTATCTTTATTCTTTAATTAATATTAAAGAATTAAATAAAATAAATTAATATATATATTATGTTAAGTGAAGGTAACACCAATATATTTTTACAAGAACATGGTATCGTGGAAGATACCACAAGAAATAATAATATTAGTTGGAGTGGCCAACTAATCCAACCTAACACCCATGTTATACTAATATATATATATGTGCAATTTGTTGTACATATTAAAATATATATATATATATATATATATATATATGATATACTAAGCATTCTGTAAAAAAAAAGAGGATAGAGCATATGATGCTCACGTTTTCAACATATAAAGGAAAAGGAAGCTCTCTCATTTTTAAGAAATAGAGCAATAGTTGCTCTCGGCTTATTCAAAGAAAAAAAAATAAAAAATAAATAAAACTCCTCTTTTAATTTAATTCCTTGTGTCGATTAAATTCCGAAAAATTTCTACTAGCGAAGAAATTGTTCTTGGAATCGGAATCCAAATGGGTGAACTCAATTAGAGGGGAGACACTTTGATCCCTTAAGGAGTAAGAAGATGGTGATAGCTACATAACTGGGAATTGATTTCTTCTTCATCGTCGCTATTTGAAAAAAATTAAAGGTAATATTCGAAATTCTCTACAAATCAAAATTCGTATTTTACGTGATTTTAAAAGATGCCGATCATTTTATTCGCTATATATACTTACGAATTAATTATTTATTTGATAAATAAAAATTATATTGTATAATTTCCGCTGCGATTTTAATCCGTACAGTATAGCGAACCCAACAACCTCATCCATTATCATGCCTACCCACCAGGTTAACTAACTGAATTCATTACAAAAATATTACAAAAGTAATTGTTTTGTTCTTTGTAACTTCAATAGGTCGGTTTTGTGTTTGGCCGTTCTAATTAACCATGAGACGGCGTACTTTTTTCTCAAATATATGCACTTTTGTTAGAAAATGACAGATTTTAAAAATCAATATAAATGAATATATAACATTTAATAATTTAAATATATAAAGTGCGGATATATTTATTTTGAGGCGGTGGGAAGCGTATGCAGACCGACATTACTGAAACCCTAGAAAAAAAAAATTACAAAAACGTCCGGAGAGTTTAGTGAATCAGTGTGGACAGTGGTATATAATGCGCTGTATTTCCATACCCCAGTGTAGTAAAAATAACTAAAGCGCAATATATAAAAAGGCTGCAAAAATAATAATAATAATAAACACAAAAATGAAGGACTTTAGGGCATTTTGAAAACTCATAGTCAAGAACACATCTTTTTGCCGTGCCGTGATTCCCTAGCTACGAGAAGTTATCATTATTCAAATCATCACGTTCGTTATTCGTAGACTCATTCAATTAGATGAAAACTCATATTTATGATATGAATGTCAAATCAAATATCGTGAAAATATGATTAATATAATTTTTAAAGTTTCTATAGATGAAAACTCATATTGTATTTGACTATTTTGAATTACAATAAATTTGATACATAAATTGTATAGCAATAGAAGTTCATACTTATGCTCGAAAAACTTTGAATTCATACATAGTGAGGGCCTGAGTGGTAATTGGCTGCAGAATTTCTAATCCACCTAATTTGTTTTTTTAATTTTAGCAATTGGCACTAATGCTACTTTTTGGTTATATATTCTATAATTAAATAAATAATTAACTAATAAAAATTATATATTTTCTAACCAAAAATTAAATTTCAAGATGATAGAAAAAATATCAAATTATGAAGTATCAATCAAATAGAATAATTCTGAAAGAATTAAAACATATAAATTTGGGGAAATGTTACGGTTCTGTTACGGAACCATTCCGTCGGGGTTTGTAACCGTTAGATCATCATGTAACCGTAAAAAATAATTGATATATCGATTACAAATCCCGACGAAATGGTTACATAACGAGACTGTAGCATTTCTCATAAATTTAATAGATAAAAATGTCTAAAAGAAGAAACGATGATTTTTTTTTTTTTCTTTCAAAGTAAAGAGGTTGCTTCAATTCCTCTCAACCAAAATTTGAAAGGATCAACAATGTCAAAACAACATTCAAATGCATAAAGTTAAAGCAACATAGCGTATTACGAGATTAATAAAAAATTCAATCCTTCACTCACTTTTATCAAATCCAAATCAATTTTGTTGAAGAAACAAGTTTAGCAAGACAAGCTTGTTTCTATCAGTCCGGACTTTCAAATTAATGTTAACAAAATTCACGTTCAATCTANATTAACCCACAATATCATTTAGTCAATAAATTAAAATTCTTAAGTTGTGAAAAAGTTTTATACGTCTTTCATAAAATTTATTGTGACTAATTAACCTTTCCACTGAAGGACCGTGACCACAATGTGGATATCACATAATATTCAGTTATTCACATCATCACATACGTCATTTCCCAAAACACATGACGTATTTATTAATCATCGCCTTAATTTTTCATGCACCTTTTACCAGACATAGTTTTTTATATATTCTCATGTATTTTATTTTTATAAATGCATGCACGTACATATTTTGGATTTTTGTAATTATTGGTAATTTTGACCGACAATTAATTTTGTAAGCGTGGAAGTAATTGGCTATAATAACGGGTCAAGTTTTGTTTGAAAGTGACGGTGGTAGGTGAAGGAAGAAGGTTAGCAAAGATCACATTACCAGCCAAAAAATGTCTATGTTTGTACCCAAAAAGAAATGTCTCTATTGACAATCACTAACATATATAATCAATGCACGTGGTAATAATAGCATGAACTATTTTTACATTTGTAAGAAACGGGGTGGGTTCCATAAACAGAGAAAACCCATATGAAGTCTAAGTAGGATTCCATCCCAAAACTAATTGGTAGAAGAATGAGTAGCTCATTAGACTTATAAAGTGAGTCTATTTTTTATGTATGAACGATGTGAGTTGTCTCACAAGTGATATCTAACACGCCCAAGCCCAACTGGGCTGGTGACGGGTACGTCATCGCACGGTCACCAATGGAACTGGCTCTGATGATACCATGACAGAAATTGAGGGAAAACGAGTATGGTCCCACTAACATGAAGCGCACCAAAGCGGGAATAGCCCATATGAAGCTCAAGTGGGGTTCCATCCCTAAACCAATTGGTGGTAGGAGGAGTAGGCCATTAGACTTATAAGTTGGATCTATTTTCTATGTATGAACGATGTGAGACAATTCACAAGTGATATTCTAACATGGTACGTGAGCAGGGTCGGCCCTGGCCCAGGGCGACCTGGGCGATGGCCAGGGCCCAATTTTGAAGGGGCACCATTCTTGGGCCTTTGTTTGCATAATTAAAAATTTCAAGAATTATTTCTTAAAAAATCTTCTGCAAGAATATAGAACTCAAACAGTGCAAACATTGGGCTTTTCCGTCAAACCATCACGTGCCAGTCAACAGCTTTACACATACTCTCTGCTGTTTTGTTGCCACGAGTACTGTTTTTAACACGGTCATTATTTTATATGATTCCTTTCACTGCTCATTTCCCTTTCTGAATTTCTTCACCCTTTCATTTGTAGAGACGAGATCTAAAATTTCCATTCAATATATCTCTTCTAAAATTCAAGATCCTAAAATTCCAAACAAGCAACTAAGCAAAGACAAACAAGATCTACCACAGCCGTAGCCCATCGCCACAAACAAGGCAGATCTTGGCCGTTTTTCCGGAGGCCTTCAATCAGAATCTGTCATCGGATCTCTCCAGGATGGGGTTTCGATAAAAATTAATTTGTTGCTTATTTATCAATTTTAAATAATTTACTTCTCAATTGGTGGGTTTATTTGAAGTTTAATTTTATGTATGAATATTGTATATTTGTTCATAATATTTCCATGTCTATGGATTATATGGATGTTTTTTTATTTTTTGTTTATTTTGTGGTTTTTGTGTTTTTTGATGGGTTATATATATATTTTTTTTTTAGAACAAAAAATGAGGGGCATTATTCTTACATTTGGCCCAGGGCCTAAAAAAGGCTAGGACCGGCTCTGTACGTGAGAATGGTACGTGAGAGTGGTACGTGAGAGTTGGGAAACTGGTAAATTTCGCCTAACTATTATGTACACAGCTTTTACATGCAACTATTTTTACCCATAATATCATCACACCATTGCCAACATTTAAATTTATATTTACATTTAAATCACACTTTAAATGATGATTGTCTATTTCATTTTTTTCCATGATGTTCAGTTGCAATGACATACCAATTAACCTATCTATTTTTACCCATAATATCATCACACCATTGCCAACATTTGAATTTATATTTATGATATAACCACATTATGATATACCGGTCTAAATACTTATTACGTTACTCGACCTAGGGGCGGATCGAACCGTCGGCATGTCGACCGGATAACATTAAAGTCGACATCCCTAAGTCGACATCTTGACAATCGACCTCCTCATGAACTAACCAAAGAGCTGATTCTACCAAAGTCATCGACCTCAAAGTCGACTCCATGTGTCGACTCCCTTAAGTCGACTTCTAGTAAGAAGACGAACAACCGTAGCCTCCGAACATCCATATAAACCCTAAGTCGACCTCTCGGTACTCGAGGTCGACTCCTTACATCTCGAGACGTAAAAGGTGCTGACGACTTAGCACACTTGCAGCATATCTAAAGCTCCGTATCCTCTAATGGATAAGGAGGAATCTTGTGATGACTCAGCAGTGGAGGGAGACGGACCGACCGGTGTATTCCTAACATTTCAAGTGAGTCAACCAGGGCATTTTGGGTACTTCAAGTAAGTTTTTTCTCCTAATAAATACGGTGTCTCGATTAATCAACGATAGAAATAGATCATTCAATTCATAGACAAATCGAAATTAGGGTTCAAACATCCCCTTAAACTAGATAAAAATCTAAACTAACATACTATTAAAAATAAATAAAAGATAGATAAAGAGAGAATATAATCTCTCTTATGTGCGAGTGCGGCTTCCCTCCGCGTGTGATGCTCCTTTCTCTTCCAATCCGTGCGTTTTTAGTTGTCAAGTGCTCTCGGCTTTCTGTCTCGCAAATAATTCCCCGCTGCGTGTTAATGCCCTCTTAGGAAATTAATTCCCGTCCCAAAAAGATGTGCTGCGTGTGCGGGGAGTCTTTAATATAAATCCTCCTCCAAAATAATTGTTCTCTCCCCATATGTTAATTCTTCTACACAAATAAATCCAAGGCAAGATGGACTTTCAACCAATCATAATTGATTGGTCAAAACAATTTCCATTCACGTGAATCAGCAAAATTATGGGCTCCAAACTTTCTTAATGGGCTGCCAGCCTTAATGGGTCTTACTCGATTTGGTATTTGGGCACGCCGATAAATGCTACTTGAACTCTCGTCAACAGTTTCGTCATCCGCAAAAATACTCTAATATTTTAAAAATAAACATAAAAATATCAATGTATATGAATCTATTCAAATAATAAATAAGTCTAAAAATACAAACGTGCTATTAAATTAAGCATATAAAATACGCTATTGAATATATAAAGTACACACATTTTTCGACCTATCACCTGCTGATGTTGCTCTCTCAGAGCAGTCCTTTTTCTTCATCTCTTTCACGTACTGACTTGAGCGTCGGAGGCTCTACGCCGGAAACACTTCCGATGTTGAGTTCTTGCTGGTGTTATTGCGGTCTAGCAGCAGTTCAAAGGCGATTCAAACAGAGCGGAGTTAAAAAACCACCGGGTCACTTCAGATCCATAAGTAACCCCATCAATTTACATTTAAATCACACTTTAAATGATGATTGTCTATTTCTTTTTTTCCATGATGTTCAGTTGCAATGACATACCAATTAACCTATCTTCGCGTGTTTTTTTCCTGAAAATCGAGCAGCTAAAGTCTCTTACTGTTCTTCGAGTAGTAACAAGTCATATAATCTATTGTAGTTACCTAATTTTCTTGTTAGAATGTATTCAATGTTTTTTCAT